ATTTGCAGTGGATCATAAGTAAAACTCTGCATATACAGACTTTAGCACCATGATCATTTAAAATCACAGCCACTGGGCTGTCAGCCTTGTGTAGCCCATACCAGGAAGAGACACCCCTACAGTGGGCGTCACTAGTGCTGCACCATGGAGGCCCACCGACCCATCCTGATTCCATAACTCCCAACGTTGGGAGGCATGATGTTGATATGTAACCAGAGCAGTGCTCTGATACAGTAGAAGGAGGGAGACCAAGTTCTTCCCTTGGCATCCAGGAGGCCTTGCAGATAAGAGAGACCACTCATATCCCTAACAGCTGTGGATCCTCTTTTCTAAGCCAGTGCTTCTCCTGTGTCAGTCTCGGCCCATGGCCATCATGGCGCAATGTAAAATTACCCAATTTGTCCGATGGCCAGTCCGGGCCTGCTACTGAAGATATATATCTCTGACTGAATACCTATGTATCATGTTATATATCATATTGTACTTTGACTTTGTTTATCGAGACACTGCTTGTGACAAACTGCATTTTGTCACTGGATTTTTATGTGACAAACTACCCTTTGCCCCTGGCTGTTGGAGGAGCCTGATTGCCAGCCTCCTGCTTCATGACTACGGCCCTGGGTTGTATGGCCCTTTAACCCCTTAAGGACCAAACTTCTGGAATAAAAGGGAATCATGACATGTCACACGTCATGTGTCCTTAAGCCGTTAAAGACATTATTTGGGCATATGGGATTGTAACACACTTTTTCTGCCCCTTTGATTTCATGGGAGAATGTGCCTCTTCCCCTCCCCATGTTTCCTGTCCCATTGTTCTCCAGCAGGGCGTTGTCCCTGGGACACTGCCAGACCAGTATAAACTGGCTGCTTTGTCCCTCCTCAATCTCGCATCAGCCCTTGCAAAACTTTAACCCCATGGCAAATTTACTCTGTTTGTGGTATCTGAGTGCTGTTCACCTATATTGGGCGCTTAGATCCGAGCTATCTGGGGATTGATTAAATATGGGAATTCTGTGTAATATAATAGGAATTATGTATTTTTATGTATTTTTATGGTTAGTGTAAAATGGAGATATTTTCTGTACCTGGAGATAATTGAGTTTACTGCAGTGCTTTAAGCCAATTATCTCCAGGATAGAGGGGAGGGATTTTACTGTGTATGTGGGAGTGTTATTTTGTTAATTAGTGTTCCCATTGGTTTGTGTCCCTTTTGTCACAGTTTACCACCAGGTCCAGGGGGTGTGTGTAACGGATCACCTGGCACCCCGACTGGGTACCTCCGTTGAAGGGTGCTCCTAGCGCTTCCTGAGGACTCCAAGCACTGCAGCATACACCACAACTACCGAACCGGAGAAGCATACGAATACTCTCAAGCATACGAATGCTGGAAGCAGCTGAACAGGAAAAGCATACAATCAGCTTACACTCCTGGCAATCAGCATACAAGCCAATTCCCCCAATAACGAGACAACAATTCGTTTTGAGGTCAAGCAGAACTGACTGTACTGGCACATACAGCCTCTTTTATTCACAATCCACAAACATAGTACTGCCCACAGGGTTTTGAAATACAACCAATCAATCTGTACAATACACACAGACACTCCTACACAAAATCCTCCCCTCTGCCTGTGATATAATTACCTTACACAATGGGTAATATAATTATCACAGACAGAGAAATACAGTTTTATAAAACACATCAGGAACCCCAAAACATGCAATAACCCCATAAAAAGTATATCCAGAACATATGCAGGCTATATGAAAAACAATTACTGTATAATGTGTCCCCTGTTGTATAGTCCAAAACCACTGCACGATGTCTCTGTGCACCAAATACCGGCGAGATGGCACCGTGTTGAAAAGTCCAAACAGTGTCTGTGAGTTAAAATGGCCGCCATCCATTGTTCTCACCATGTGCTTCATCCATTGTTCTCACCATGTGCCTCTGATACAGGAAATGGTGGCCACCCAGTAACTCCACAGTATGTCCCCAGATGGTTCTTAAAGGGCCAGCAGCAGCACAACACAAATCCATTATGCCCAAATCATGTCTTTAAAGGGCAATACATCCCAGGGGCCATAGTCACATGGCAGGAGGCTGGCAATCAGTCTTGTCCAATGCCCAGTGGCGAGGTCGGTTTTGCCACAGTGTGCCTCTGGCCTGAAAACTTGTATAAAAGAAAGTCCTTTTGTGTGCATTAAACAGACCTGCTTTACCCCTTCATGAAGTCTTGGCTCATGTTTGGGGGATGGGATAACTACACTCTGGGGATTGCTATATCACAATACTCCCCTGAGTATAAGCTCTTGTTCCTGGTTCCTGCTCTCTGGATTCTAGGAGAGGTTCACCCCCTGGAAGCTGAGGTCTTGGGTCCAGAGTGGGTGGAGGATGGCGAGACCCCAACCAAGCTGCGGAGGTTCGTGGGGTCTGCAGTGGTTAGGGTTTCGAGTGGAGTGCTTGGAGCCCTCGGTGAGCACTAGGAGCATCCGTCAGCAGAAGGTACCCAGTCGGGGTGCCAGGCATTCCGTTACACTGCTTATTCGAGTCCCCCAGCTATATTTTTTGCTTCTGGACTGGTACTTGGCTCTGAGTTTCGCTGTGCTTTCCTGGACACTACTTACCAAATTATCCCCAAATTGTTATCTTTAATTTTTTGTTTTGTTTTTTTAATTTCAATGTTTTTATTGTTTCAATATAAGAATAAGAGGAAAGTACAGAAAGAAAGAGGGTGTTTCAGGGAAAAATACAAGGAATAACAGTTGTCACATCAGCTGTTCACAATCATTAAAAGGCATACATATAAAAGGGAAAGTACTTATGCTACTCCACACGCTTCAGGTCCGCCAGACCCCGTCTGTCTAGTGTCAGAGAGTCTGCCTACTGAACCCTTCCTGGATGCTATTGTGTCTCTCGTCATGCCATCCATCCCCTTGATTTTGGATATTAATGCTCTCTGGTGCTTGGCTTTTAAAGCCCTAGCCAGGTGTTTCTCAGTTTTGTTACGATGTGCGTAGAACATGCCTTGGGCCAGCTGCACTGCTCTGTACACTTTCAGAGGTAATGCGCTGTGGAGTTCCACTCTCAAGGTCGTAAGGCGTTGGAAAGACTCCTGACTAGGCCTAGCTTTGTGGGCAGTTTCCTCTGCTTGTATATCCACCGTCAGTGTTTGAACCTTAGCTATGCACACTTCCTAAATGCGGGATCCCCACTTAATCAGTATTCCTAGAATGACTCCCTTATGGGCCTCCTGGGGGTCACTGACGTCCCTTGATACATTTGCGGTAAAATAGTGTGTTAGGGATGTACATATGTCTTCCACTACTCTCTGGTCCTCTAGTAAGGTCTCATTTAGTCTCTAGCCTGTATTCTGTGTAGTACCTCATTGTAGGGAAATGTTCAGTAAAAATTGGGCATGGTCAAACCACGTAATGTTCCCAATTGATGCCTCTTTTATCAGGTGGAGGTTTCTGTGACCTTTGAGAAACATGTCTATCCTCCAATAGCTTTTTGCTACGGGGGAATAAAATGTGAAATCCCTTTTCTGAGGGTGTAGTAGGCACCAGCAATCAGTCAGTTGGTGAGATTGTAGTGTGTTTGAGAGTAGGGTCCTCTGATGGTACTGTGTGTCTTTGGTCTTAGGTTGTGTTGTCCCATGTCTGGTCTACCACCATGTTCCAGTCTCCCCCAACTATTATAACTCTTGCGAGTCCCTCTAGTTTCTTAAGGCATGATCTGATTAAGGAGACCTGTTGGTAATTGGGTTTGTAAATATTGGCCAGTGGGTGTGTAATATTGTGGTGTCATTGAGTAGTCCTTTAATTAAAATATGAGAGGGCAGTGAAATCAACACCTCCCAGGATTTGCTCTGAAGGTAGTTGGAAGTTACCCCTATAGTGTGTTTCCCAACAGAACACAATGTAGGCTTGCTGCCTATCTAGTTCCTGTGCCATTATGATGCGTTTCTCTGTAGAATTAAGGCCACCAACATTGAGAGACCGTTTAAATTGTGCTATAGTAAGAGTGTGATCTTACTGGTAGGTATAATATGATCGCTATATATAATGTAGTTTTGGATAAAAAAAATTTTTTGGACAGTCTTTATTGTATTGAGGCAAGAGATAAAACAGTACATAGTGTAAAGCAGGGAGTCATGGCAAAGAGAACATGTGTTACACAGAAACAGCAACAGCCTTATTTTATGTTATATTACAAAATTAAACTATGGGCAGTGATGCACAGGGACACTCGCTTAGTTCAGCTGCCCCTCCATGGCTTAATTTCCCTTAGGCCACAAGCCCTGAAGGAACATTCAAAGGCCGGAGAAGCCTAAGTAAGGTATCCCCGGGTTCAGCAGCGCTCACTGGACAAAGTCTGAGTAGGCTTCAGTCTGCAGGAGCAAGTAGATAGGTTGTGCACTCCAATATTTAGCACCAGACGTGGGAGCTCACGTTGAGCACGTCTGGTTGGCTTAACGGTCAGGCTCCGCCCCCCTAGTTTTGGATAATTTGACCACGTGTCATTGAAATAGGCAAAAAGTGAGGGAGAACATTAAAAAAAAAATGGAAACTGTTTACAGTGTTTAAGTCAGGATGTCTCATCTCGATTCTAGAGATGATGCTAGACCTGTAAGTGACAATATCATACCCACAAGTAATTATAGGCATCTCTCTGAGAGTAAGTGACCTAGATATCTTAGGTGAACTGGATGTGCTGTATTACATATTAACTGAGCCAGTATAGGATCTAGCCCTATCACTCAGAAGCATAAAATAAACTTCAAAATGTAAAGACCAAGACCAAGGTTGGTAGGTACTACCATACCATCTATAAGCAAAACAATAGTTGTGTACTGATGATCCCCAGCCGCCCCCGTTATATGCAGCAAATAGAATTATAATAATAACAAAACAATGGTCACATTCAAAACGGAGTGGTTCACCACTCTGAGATTAACTTTGAGGCAAAGGATATGTACAGCCACAGAAGTGGGCCATCAGGTAACTTTGTCTTTAGGTGTGGAACTACTGTAAAGTCCCGAGGGTGTCTGCCTTCTCCGATTCTTTGGCGTTCTCTGCCACCTGGGTCTCTGGAACAGTTGTCTCGGTGATGCCATAGAGAGGCCAGTCCAGTCTTCCACGTTGTCAGAGAGGCCTAGTGCTTCTTCAAAGGCTGGTACATCTACAGGTGTGACAATGGAGTACGCTTTGCCCTGTTGCTGAACCACAAGGGCGAATGGAAAGTTCCAACGGAATTTGATGTTTTTCTCCATTAGTGCTTTAGTAATGCGCCGGAAAGCCCAAGTCTTGGTAAATGGCAACACAGTGGCCTTCAAATTTGATGTCTTGCAGTTGGCATACTGTGGGAAGTTATGTATGCGGCAAATAAGGTCTTCCGGCTTATCTTGGGGCAGGGATCTGGGCCTTATTGCTCTATGGGCCAGATCAAATTGTAGAGCAGTGTCCAGTGGCCTAGCAAGGATCTGATTGAACAATAGGGTCCTACTGTTTGCCTTCTGGGCCTTCTGGTATTCACCTTACATGGAGGTTATTGTTTCTTCCTTGGTTATCTACACCCTCCAACTTTCTGTGCAGGAACATTATGGCTTTGGAATACATCCACTGCGTATTTTGGTACTGTGACCATTATTTGCTGGTTTTCCTCACAGATTGTTTGTAACTAAAGCTCTCTTCCAGCTTGGAGAACATTGCTGTGAGGTCTTTCTTTGATGGTAGTTAAGTTAACATGGTTCTGAGATTTGTGTCCTCTGCCAAACACTCCGAGGCTGATGGGCTCAATTGGGGCTGCCTTGTGAGTGGCACGATCTTGAAGCACGGTTCCAGCTCTGTTTGCTACGAAAAGAACAGACTCATGGAGGATTTTGAGGACACCTGGTTAGTGGCTGGGGTGCCCTCCATGTTTGTGTGTGTTATTTTAGTGGCCGTCATTCATTGCAGTGAAAGCTAACAGTATAATGACATTCACAGTCAATGCCATGAAGAACTTGGAAAATAAAATGTCTTGATTTCTCACACTGTTTTAGATTTTATTCATATTAAATTATGTTCCATAAATAAATAGTTGATGTGAAATGAAAGCCCTGTTTTTTCTGAACAAAATAATATATAATACACTTGGGTGCATTTAATATGAAATAGGTAAATTGTGGTTGAATAGGCAGATAGCTCAAATTATAGACTTTGTTTTGGTTCAGAACTTGGACAATTGCTTCAGTCCTTAAGGGGTTAAAACAAGTATAGGGTTGGGTGAAGTGTAGTGATATCCGGATGCAGGCAAGCCACTGTAAAAGGTCACTCAAACCTTAAAACATATAATAGAAACAAGAAAATACAGGGCGCCAGAAACACCAGATAAATAAACGAGGATAATAATAAAATGAATGAGGATAATACTGTTTATTGAATAATGTGCACCAACACTGTGCAAATAGTAAAAAAATATATCTACATAAAAAGCCTTAATAGGCTAAAGACCCATAGGTATAGCAGCTCTACATAACATGAAAAAGTGCTAATTACTAACGTGCAGACAGTGGAATAAAATGGCAGAGTACAACTCCTATCACTCCAAGCTGGTATACATTAATAATGTCCACAACTAGTCACATAGGCAGAAATCATGTAAAACAGAAACTGCTGATACCAAAGTGGAAGGGTCCTCAATGCTGCTCAACGTGTTTCATCCTTTAGACTTCATCAGGAGCTTCTTAATCTTCTCACACTCTTCTCTCTTTTAAATTTGCCGGTCCGCCGGTTCTTTCGTGACTGCGCATGCGCCCGTCACGTGCACCGTCATACGTCATGACGCACGCGTGAACGTTCTGCGCATGCGCGGCCACGCTGGAACGCAAATAATCTTTATTGTTCTATGTGCACAGTAGCAACTGAACGTCCTACATCAAGAACGTTCATAGTTATGCTAAGACTGTCGGCTGATTCGTTTATATATAAATGTGGCTTCATGGGGAATAGAAAATATGTTAAAAAAGAGGAATATATTAAAAACAAAAAATTATTATAAACATAAATTATTATTATAAACAAAAATAGTAAATATAAAAGAAGGTGCATATAGCACAAATAGGAAAAATGATGATATATCTAAAATTTATTAGAAGATATATCTAAAATCTATTACAAACAAGAAGGGAATAAAAACCACTAGAAGCACGTTTATATCATGAATAAAATGAATACCCATTTATAACATGAATAAAATGAATACAATATATGTATACATAACAGGTCACATATAAGGAAATCCAAGATCATAATAATAATAATGTTGACAATAAAGAGACAGATAATACATCCATAAAAAGATATTATATCCATAAAAATAGATGTATATATATAAATAAATAAGATGGGGACATCTATAATAAATCTTAAATAACATAAACAACAGAGGCAAAAATATTTTCAGCATCAAAAATATTCAGCATCAAAAATATATATATTAAAAAAAATATATATATTTTTAAAATATAAATATTTTTAAAAACATTTCATGAGGAGACCATAAAAAGATATTTTATAAAATATTTTTTCAAAAACATAAAAAAGGATAAATATGAATAAATAACTTAATCAATAAAAGATAAAATATCCAAATCTGTATTGAGACCTAAGGGAACAGAGGACTTCATTTTATATATCCATTCAGTTTCCCTTTTTGCTAGCATCTTCTCTGTATCTCCCCCTCTCCAATGTGGTATAACTTTATGAATCCCTATACACATAAAATCCTTAAAATCAAAATCACTGCATTCGTTACAATGTCTGGGAACACTATGTTTCATATTCTTATTTTTAATACCATTAAAATGTTCAAGTAATCTTATATGCAATTTCCTGATTGTGCGTCCTATATATTGGACGCCTGTCAGGGTTTCTCTGCTGTTTTAAACAGCCACCCTTCCTTTTTCCGGTCTGAGGTTTCAGCTGTAATTAACGATCAGCTCCTTCATCATGTTGCCACGGTTACTCACCTGAGAATAGTAATCAACCCTGCTGCTAATCAGTTCAGCCTATTTAAGCAGCAAATCCCAGAACCTCCTTGCCCTTGCGTGGTTTCCTGTCCCCCAGAAGTCTCCTTGTTCCTGTGTTTCCTGTTTGCTCCTGGTTCCTGACTCTGGCCTTGTTCCTGACTCCGCTGCCCTCCGTTCTCCTGATCCTGGCTCGTCTGACTACCCGCTCTGGTGACTGACCCCTGCTTGCCTCCTGGACTTTGCTTTTGGTTATTTCTTTGTTATTTATTAAATAAAGGTGTTTTTGCATCTAGATCTGTCTCTGTCTGGTTCCTGGTTCCTGACATTACGCAAGGGCCATGAATACAGATGGTACAGGCAATACACCTATACCTAACCTATTTACCCAGTGGGACCAGCAGAACCACCATTTGGACCAGTATGCCCATCTGAATCCAAAACCCGGCCAGCCTGCGATTGCGGCCGCCTCTGCCTCACTTCCTGTTCTAGCACCGGTTGTAGCCTCCGAACCTGTTGCGGCTAGAGGAATGACTGGGTCTGTCCCGCTCCCTCAGTATTTTGGGGGCAACCCAGCTCAGTGCAAAGAATTTATAAATCAGGTTAAAGGATACCTTGAAATGCTGCCCCAGGCATTTCCTACAGACAGCGACAAAGTCCAGTTCATGATTTCTTTGCTGTCTGAAAAAGCCCTAGCTTGGGCAAAACCTCTCTGGGAGGCAGAGAGGCCCATCATTTAAAATTACCCTGAATTTGTTGCGTCCTTTAAAAGGGTTTTTGATATTCCAGCTCGCTCCACCCCTACTGCCAAACAACTCATGTTGAGATGTCGAGATTCTTGTGGCGGCCTTTGCACAGGGGCTCTCCGATGTAATGAAAAATGAGATTGCAGACAGAGAATTACCTAAAGATCTCGAAGAACTGATATCATTTGTCACCCTCATTGACATCAGACTCCGAGAGAGATCCTCATCCAGGGAGCGCCTGCGTAGGCCTCCAGTATGTTTGGCACCGAGCTTTTCCTGCCCACCCAAACCTCCCTCACCTCCCATGCCTCCTGGTCCTGAGTCCTCTGTCGGTGTGGAGCCGAGGCGGTTAGGCTTCTCACACCTCTCTGTCGAGGAGAGAGCCTTTAGGAGGAGGGAGGGCCTGTGCCTATACTGCAGACACCACGGTCACATATTAAAGTTTTGCCTGATTCGTCCGGTAAAGGGCCCGCACCCAAGATACTGTCAGGGGCAGATCTTGGGGGGTCTTTCTGCAGACCCAGAGATAAATAAGGACAAACCCTTGGTGCCTATTATCCTCTCCTGGCCGGAGTCATCCATTAAAACCCGGGCATTTCTTGATTCTGGGGCCGCAGGATTGTTTATAGATTGTGCATTTGCATCAGAGCACTCTATACCCTTACAGCCTCGCAACTCCCCACTAGCTTTCGAAGCCATCGATGGCCGACCTATACAGCCAACCCTCGTGACCCAGGAAACCGTGCCCATATCTCTGGCTGTAGGGGCTCTACATCATGAGATGATCCAATTCCAGGTCATTTCCTCTCCATACTACCAGGTTGTTTTGGGATACCCTTGGCTACAGAAGCATAACCCCACAATTGATTGGCGCAAATCTGAGATATTATCTTGGTCCCAGCAATGCACATTTTCCTGTCTCCGGAAACCGGTCAAAATTTTGGGCACAGTTTCGGCCTCTTCCTTACCCGCTGAGTACCAAGAATTCCAAGATGTATTTGACAAAGGTCAAGCTAGCGTTCTGCCACCACACCGTCCGTATGACTGTGGTATCGAACTCCAACCTGGTGCCAATCCTCCCCGTGGACGGGTTTACCCGCTGTCTGTAGCAGAGAATCGAGCCATGGAGGAGTATGTTACTGATGCGTTGTCAAAGGGATTCATTCAGAAATCATCTTCTCCTGCCGGGGCCGGCTTTTTCTTTGTGAAAAAGAAGAGTGGTGAGTTGAGACCCTGTATCGACTATAGGGGTCTCAATCGCATTACTATTAAGAATGCCTACCCCATTCCATTGATCACAGAGTTATTTGACCGCCTCAAGGGAGCAACGGTCTTCACTAATCTTGATCTGAGAGGGGCATATAATCTCGTCCGGATAAAAGAGGGCCACGAATGGAAAACCGCATTTAACACCAGGAGCGGGCATTACGAATACCTAGTAATGCCCTTTGGTCTTTGCAACGCTCCGGCGGTTTTCCAGGAATTTATAAATGACGTCCTGCGAGATATGCTGCAGCAATGTGTGGTGGTTTATCTTGATGATATTCTTATCCATTCCACATCTCTCGAGAACCACCACGCAGACGTTTCTAGTGTTCTACAGAGACTTAGAGAAAATAATCTGTTCTGTAAATTGGAGAAATGTGAGTTCAATTGCAAACAGGTCACATTCTTGGGCTATGTTATCTCAGATGCTGGATTCTCTATGGACCCAGAGAAACTTTCTGCTGTACTAAAATGGCCTCGACCTACGGGTTTTCGCTCTATACAGCGTTTTCTTGGCTTCGCCAATTATTATCGGAAGTTCATACGCAACTTTTCTTCCTTAGTTAAACCACTCACAGATATGACCAGGAGAGATGCTGATCCACAGCATTGGTCACAGGAAGCCATTTCTGCCTTTGAGTCTCTCAAAGTCGCCTTTGCTGCTGCTCCTATTCTGGCACACCCTAACCCTGCCTTACCATTCATTCTTGAAGTCGATGCGTCTGAGACAGGAGTAGGCGCCCTCCTGTCTCAACGTCCTAACCCAGAGAGCTGCAGGCATCCGTGTGGGTATTTCTCGAAGAAATTAAACCCGGCGGAATGCAATTACCAGATTGGTGATAGAGAACTTCTAGCCATAATTTTAGCTCTCAAAGAATGGAGGCACCTTCTTGAGGGT